CAAGTGGATAATTTATTTTTTGTGCACCACAATTTGGCGACCGTGGCACTAAAAGAAGACGTTTTTTTTGTTTGATTTGTTTTAGGGTTTTTGTTTGTTTTTTGGGGGCAATAAAATAAATGTTTTGTCGTAACTAAGGCGCCGGGGGGGGGGGGGGGGGGGTACTTTAGGAATTTCTGGGTGGGGATGTCCTGCTGGGACCCTGGAATCCTGGAACCCTTAACCTATACCAGAGTTAGTTCAGCTAAATTTTGCTACCCTATACTAGAGTAAACTCCCCAAATCGCGCCTATCATAGAGTAGCTGTTTCCCTAGTCTAGATAAAATCTTCAACCAACTGATCAGTTTCCTGAAAAATCATACCCTATTCTAGACCCAAATGTTCTGATTTATATACCCTATCCTAGAGTAAACTGCTTGAAAAACCATACCCTTCACAGCGGCACATACCTATATAGGCCATATATGGCAGTACCCCCCCCCCCTGGAACTATAGCTACAGACAATAAATTGGTGATTTATTAGCAAAAGGCTATAATCAGTATCATACCCAAGAGAGGGAAACAACTATTATCATATACTATTTTTACAATGAGACTGCTTCCTTCACCCCAAAACTGTATGTCTGTATGGTTAATTTTGGTTACAAACTAAAGAGCACCAATGGGAATACGACCTTTGACACACCAACAGTGCATGTATTTGGGACACATTTTGTCAAATAAAATAATACTACTGTTGTTGTTATCTATAATTAAGGGGGTTAATGAGATGTGATGTTAACAATACATTTAGCTATCCATCAAAAAACTTACTTGTAATTCATAAAGAAAAACAAAAGAAATTAACCCATTCGCTCCTGGAGATTTTGCCGAAAAACGCGTTTTGAAGCTAGTCGAGTGGCCTTCTGGTCACTGTCGTGCTATAAAAAGCTAAAACTTACCACAAACCGGTTTACAGGTCGTACACTTCGCGGCCTTCTGATGCAGATGCAAAATATCAGCTTGCGAATTTCGGGCATGCGCAGAAAGCAAAATTTCAACATAGTTTTTGGGTTTAAAAGTGACACAGCAGTCTTGACTTTTACTTTTCGCTTTCTCTCCTCCCCTCTTTTTTCGCTTTTGTTGCCTCATTTTTTTTTTCTCTTGCTTGGGATTTAGTAGGCTTCATTTTGGTGGGAATATTTTTTAGGAAAGCTTTTAGGATCTTAGGATTAGGTGAAAGGAAAGGTAGGTGGGCAATGGAACAAGATTTTCATGGAGATTTTCAGGTCAATGTTACANGCAGTCTTGACTTTTACTTTTCGCTTTCTCTCCTCCCCTCTTTTTTCGCTTTTGTTGCCTCATTTTTTTTTTCTCTTGCTTGGGATTTAGTAGGCTTCATTTTGGTGGGAATATTTTTTAGGAAAGCTTTTAGGATCTTAGGATTAGGTGAAAGGAAAGGTAGGTGGGCAATGGAACAAGATTTTCATGGAGATTTTCAGGTCAATGTTACAAGGTTTTTTGCCTCTTTCTCCGGTTTCCTTGACTGAATTGTGCTCATTCTGGTATGGTTTGAAAGATCTCTTCACTCTGCACAAGTTAGCAGACAAAGTTGTCCTTGACCGTTAAAACTGATGACGTTACAAGGGCTAGAAAGGACGTGGATCCGCACGGGCGGTTACGGGCGGTTCAGGGGCGAATGGGTTAATGTTCAATGAGTGTCTTATATCTGATAAAGACATGGCTAAACTTTACATCCATTTTTTTAGTCCAAGATAATCCCAAATCTAAATATTAGTGCAAGAATGAGTTGATCTATATCAGAGATTTTGAAGCTGTTCAAAAAACTCAAAGTTGTGTATTATCAGGTTCAAAAGCACTTGTCTTTGCCTTGAGTTTTTAAACCTGATAATACACTCCTGTCAATTTGTAAACAGTACATAAACAATCTAATGTGACCGTAAATTTGAAATAAATAATACAGATAATTTTGATCACAAGTCTGGCTTCAGAATGTCAGACTAGTCCAATAATCAAATCCTGATCAATCTGTACAACAAAAAATAATGTGATTCCAATCACACAAAAATAAATGAAATTGTCCCTAACAGCTAGTAGTCATTTTTGCCCACTATATCCTGACTCGTCCCCAATCATCTCTCAGTCTCCTGTTTTCCTCCTTCTCATCACCCCTTGCGCTCCCTTCGGTCAAGCTTCTCACATTACATTCTCCACATGCGATCTAAATAGAGATGGCTGGGGATGAGTCAGCTAATCCCCACTATGAGAGTTACCTGTAATAACTTAATAAAGTATGTTGCATTACAAACCCAAACGTTGAATAAACAACTAGTAAGCAAGTCCTTCATCTTGCCATTCAACTTCAGGTTATTCATAGTAGTTCTTACAAGTACCTTACTTGCTTTTCATAGCTAGTGACTAATTTGAAAAAACAACTGCCTACAACCTTAGTGAAGGTCATTTGTCCTCTGTGATGGGAATAAAATGTTGATAATAGTCCTTGGTCTTCTCTGTCATTAATTCTTGCATACACTCAGGTAATTCTGCACTGAATACACCTGCAATAAAGTGCTGAATATTTAATTAAGATTGGCAACAAATTTATGTTGGTCTGCCATTAAAGAGTTTAGGTGCATTTATGAAACTATGATTATAATAGAACAAAAAGAACCTCCCTAGCTGTCCAAATCCCTGCCTACTAAGTGCATATACATGGCAACTTGAAATTTTGAGTGACAGCCATGATATTAGACTATTCCAAAGCACTTAATTTGCAAGGTATTAGGGAATTTATTGAGCAAATATCTTAGGACCTCACCAAGTTCAGAAAGAGAAAGGAAAATTCTTCAACATACATTAATGTATATTCACAATTTTTTAGAAAGCCTATCCATTACATAGCAAAAAAGCTTGTCTATTTTGGTTAGTTTGTAGCATATACAAAACCATATGTATACTACCACTTTATGATGGCTATAAGGTAAAAAGGAGGATAAAGTTTGCATTAGTCATATAATTGTTACCTAAGAATAAGAGCACTTACCAGGAGACCCTGAATAAAGTGTAAAAGGTGGAACAACAGTTTCAGGAGGTAGTACAGTATTATCTGCTATGGCACAACAGTCCTTTAGCACACTCCGCCGACCCTTTCAACAAGAACAGAAGTGGATCACAGGAAGGCCTTGTTGAAATGGATTGACATGTTGGTTCAACTTTCAGTCAGTGTATCTAACTGCAACATACAATGTATACTGAATGCACTCGCATGCCTTGCTGGGGGGCATTGGATGATGTTGAAACTTCTGGGTACCCAACACCATCCAGTGATATTGGATGAAGTTGGACGAACATGTTACATAGTTTAAACAGGGTCTCTGATTCATTTACTTCGTAATCTAAGCCTAAATGCTCAGTGCATGAATAACAAATTTAATTTTTGGATGCAAGTCACCAAGCAAGGCATCTGTAAATGACGTCAATGGAATTTAAAGGTTTGGCCCAGAATTAATTGCCATTAAATAAATGTAAACAGAAAAAAAGAAGAATACTATAGTCATAGTTGTGATCATAGTGATGATGATAATGATAGCGAAGATAGAGATGGTGATGATGATGATGATAGTGATGTTGACGATGGTAATGATACTGGTGATAAAGAAGGTGATGATGATGATGATAGTATTGATGATGATGGTAACGATACTGGTGAAAGAGACAGTGATGATGATGATGGTTAAGATGCGGATGATGGCACTGCAGGTGGTCATAAAGGTAATAGTGATGATAATAGGGAGCTTAAACAATGACGATGGCAACGGCCACGAAAACGTCACTTAAAAAGTGAATTTGCGCTGCTGCAAACTTTACCGCGCTTACTCCATCTCGTTTAATTTGTCAAATGTTGGCAAATTTTTTTGGAGTTGAATTCTAAAGGAATGAGTCAAAGTTTAGGAACAGAAAAGGAAAGTTGTTGCTTCCTGTTCCCATCCTCGACAAAATGTGAAATTAGGCACTTTCACGTTGTAGTCGTCCAATGACGGCAAAGAAATGTAAAAAAAAGCGTGATGCACGTGCAAAGTTGTTGTTTTGCCAATCTAAATCTATTGCATTATTGCCGTTCTCTTTGACGTCACCGTCGTCATTGCTTAAGCTCCCTAATGATGATGATGATGGTGGTGGTAATGATACTGGGGGTAGAGAGGTTAGTGATGATGATGATGAAGAAGATGGTACATGTGTAATAATACAGCTGTGGATGAAGATAATGATTGTGACACTGATTATTGTTTCACTGATGATGATGATAAAGATGATAATAGTAATAATAATGATGATGATAATGATGCTTTAAAGTACTGCAGCTGTACTTACAATCACACAGTTTTTTCCGATGTGGACATAAGATCCCACTTGTGCTGCATTTACAACACAGTCCTCTTCAATAATTACATGATCTCCAATATGAAGAGGAAAGAACGCAACCCTAAAACCAACATCATTAACAATGATAAATATCATATTTTTTGAGTTATGACTTTCAGGCAGCTACTATGTCTTTGTTATTACAAGTTACTTATTGCTGCATGATGTAGGTGTACATGTGTACCTCTCTATCTTTATAAATTGATACAACCTTTAAGTACGGTCTAGTTCTACTTTTGGGACAACTTCAAAAGTCACTTGTGGGTACATGCTATATGTTTCTAATTTTTGACCTATGATCTGTTCAGAAAATAATCTTTTGTGACTATTTTAGCGAACGACTTTGACAGCACTTTTGTATGCTACCATTTGTCTTTTCAAATTGAATTGTCTTGACCAGAGGCAGATAATGTTGGAGGTAAAGGGTACACTGAAATTATTGAAACATATTTATTGACACCATCTACAAACCCTTTGCTGAATTTCTTGAATGGAGGCCTAATGACGCTTCTTTTGCTAATCACACACTGGCGTCCTATTCTGACATTTGCAAGGTCACCACGGAGGATACAATCTGACTGAATGATGGTCTGAAATTGCAATAATTAACCCTTTAAGCCCCGGGATCCACAAACAAATTCTCTAAACTGATCTCTATACATTTCCTTTAAGAATTAGTTGTGAGAATTTGATAATAGATCAAGGTATTTTCTCCTTGGTGATCATTTTATTAATTCTCATAACTTATCTCTTGACAGTGTATGGATATTGTCAGGAGAAAATTGATCTTTGTCACTGCTGGGACTTAAAGGGTTAAGAAGACTGTCTTACACAATGGCCTTTGACTGGAAGATGATCAAAAGATAATAGAACTAAAAGATACCAAGAGAAAATAATACGTAAATATACACAAAACTCTATTAAGGGATAGGCCTTTAATAGAGCTCACACATTAGAAACTTGATAAAGCTAAGTACACATTTCTACAGAAGCTAATAACAACAAAGAACTATATTATTGCACCAAGAACATTCTGGCTCCTTCTATTGAAATCTTAAAGCAGGTTAACACAACGTAATTATTATACGCAAAAACATTGTTATCGACACTAACCTTTCCATTTAGAACAATGTTTTGACTTCCACATAGAACAGATTGGCGACTGACTTTGTTTCCTGATGCCTAGATTGTCAAGGGTAACAGAATCATGATATGAGAATGTCCATTCCACTCTGAATTCGAGATTTCGTGGATTTGTTATTTTGAGAAAAAACAAATCATAAAATAAAATTTTGTTCTCTTAAATTCAAACTGCCTGTTTAACTTAAGGAAAAAAAGAGTTCTTATCTCATGATTTGTTCGGAGCAATCTCGAATTTACAGTGTTCTGAGATGAATCATCAGTCGTCCACGTTGTAGGTGGCTTGGTTTAAGTTTCAAGTTAGCAAAAAGTGGAGTGGATAAACCCTCGTACTCACGGTTTCTATATACTCCGCCTTATTATAATAGATATCCTTCTGTTCCATTGTTGAGATCTAACAAATGGCCCTCTGATTTTTCGCACAACTTTCTTACATTTCCTTGTCATCTAAAAACAAACGCCAAGGCACCTCACCGCAATGAGAACGAGAGAACTGGGTCCTAGTCTACGGGTTACACTACTTGGCTATCCGGGAGGGGGAAAGAAAGAGATATGAAAGCAAATGTGGCGTTAATTAGAGAAGAAAAAACAAATACTTTATCAAAGTAAAGAGCCTAATGATTTCAAAAACTTATTATTAGATATTGAAACATAAATCTTGCTGAAGTGACTTTCTGGAGATGTATTTTGCCTCCCCTCCCTTTCCCTCCCTCCCTCCCTCGAACACATTTTGTCACCGTTGAAGAATCTCTGTTGGTACTACATTTCGAACCCATTGATTGTCAGAGTTTTCCGCTTTGCCATATCCTTTATGGCTTGGAATCAACGCCCAGGACAACAGCCAGGTTATAATCCAGCTTATGTAAGTATAATTATGCTAAGTATGGGTGTGATTTTATTGTTAGTCACATTTGTTAGTCACAAACTCAAGGGTCCATTTTAAATCGATTAAGCTTACTTTTGTGGTCAATTTGGGATAGGTCTGGGTTTCTGTTTTAACATTTCTGGGAAAATGCAAACGTTTAGTGACCGTTTAATAGTGCTACAAGAAGTCAAACTGTTGAGAGGAAATAACATTTTATGCTTACCTCAGTATTCAGTATTAATTCCAGCGTTTTGAAGTCTTTTAAGAATGCAAAAATTAGCTTACATTAATATTAACTACCAGGTGAGAAATTTCTGCAATTTGATTGGCTTAGAGCAGTGGTATTTCAGCTTGATTTGAAATACCTACATGTGAAAATTACAAACCTTTTGCGGGTAGTAGTATAAACAAATAATAGCATGATTTGTACGTTATATGTGACATAAATACCACCAGTGATATTTCAAATTGTCGCAAATTTCACTCGCCTAACGGCTCGTGAAATTACATATAGCAACTTCAAAATATCACGCGTGGTATTTAGGCCAAATATCACTACAAATCATGCTATTACCTATACCAATATAACTTGATGTATAGTAGAAAATCGTGTCAACTTAATATGGCTTTATCCTTTACCACATCATTACAGTAACAAGAACTTTAAAATAGCCGTAAGGTAAAATTGAAAGAATAAACATATTTTTTAAAACAGCAGAGAGAGATGAAGGTCCTTTTTGTCCAGATAGTGATCATAAAACAGCTTGACTAGTTGCATTTTCACCAGTGAGAATTTTCCTGGGCAAAATGAGTAATATGCCACTGGATAAATTTTCAACTGGCTGAAAAATTTGACCAGACACATCTAAGTGCACAAATTTTCGCACTGGTCTAAAATTTGTCTGGCACTGTATGAACATAGCCTTATTCCAGGACTCAAAATTTAACCACACTTTACACTGGCTTTCTAGTGGGTGACTAGTGAAAGGCACGATAATATGAGGGCAAAGACATGCCTCTGTTACTGTGAAGTTTTTGGCTTACTAATGTACATGTGTTTCATGTTTTGTTTAAAATTAATCACTTCCACCATATGGTGCAGAACACGCAACAGAGTGGGGCTCCAATTTAAGTGTGTCCTTACAGATAGCCCACTCATCCCAGGAGAGGTTGTTCACACTACCAGGGTCTTCGTCCCCTACTCTTTTCGATCAGTAGTTTGGGTTCTTTTATGTCCCACAAGAACAGATAAGTGAAAGTGCTGCGAGACGTGACCTACAGTTTTTTGTCCCTATCTGAGAAGACTAGAAAGTCTAACCATTTGCAGATGCCATTGCAAAGGTAGCATTTTCTCCTCAGTTATTTAAAGACCCCGAATTTTGGTCCAGCTAGGGTTTGAACCCACGACTACCATTTCTGCAGATGGGCACTCTCCTAACTCCCAACTGAGCTAACCAGGGGGCAAAAGTGCATCACACCAGCAGATGTGTTTGATACTGTGGACCTGCAATAGTTTATTTCATCCCAGAGGGGGGGGGGGGGGGTTCTGTTTGAATGGGGGCAAAAATAAAAACCCAAACAAATCCCTGGACCAAAGACTAACTCCCCCAAAATCCCATGCCAAATATCCAAGCCAAAAAACTTGCCAAATGTTCCCCCCCAAAAAAATCCCAAAATTAAAAATTTAAAACCAAAAAAATCCCTAAAACATCCCTATTACATAAAATCCGGGGTC